ATTGCTATTTCCCTACAGCAGTGCTAAACCTTTGATGCTCTAACTCCTGTGATGGCTCTTCACAAAACATTAGCTACCATATGACTGTCTCTAACTGGTAGCCAAACCTGTGTCCTCACTTTGCTTTGATGACTAGATTAGATTAATGTCACAGTAAAGCAGATGAACATGGACAAACAATTGAGGCAAAACGGTTAAATATCACGAGAAACCCGTTTCACACTAAATGGGGCTAAAAGGTACAAATCAAAGGCTAAAACATCTGGACATTAAGAAGTCTGTGGTCATTTTCAATGCTAATCTTAGTCTGTGTCAAGTTTTTAATATCATACTGGCAGCATTGATATAGTAACCAGCAGATCTCGACTGTCAGTATCTAATATATCAGTATGATGGAGATTAGCTCTCCCAGCATAATCCTATCCGCTGCTCTGTGCATTGAGAGCTCCCTCAAACAGGCACCACATTGAACTGTATAACCATATGCTATAAATGATCAGTTACTCAAATTACTCAACTTAGAAAAGTTCTAGGGTTTGTGTCACTAATGAAAAGATGTACATGGTACATGACCAAAAAAACTAAAAAAGCTATACAACCATGGACACACTGGTGGTGAGATAGGTGCAGTAGTAGTGCTGCACACATGGGAGTTCCCCTATCAGATAATAAATTGTTGGGAGTGACTATTGTTCCCCAAAATACTAAAAAACTAAAAGTTCCTGGAGTTCTAAAATATTTAAGCTAATACAGAATACTGAAATCACAGTTAAGCTAGTTTCACTTGCTAATGAAATCATTGTTAAGCGACAGCTTTTCACCAGTGTTCTCCCTAGTGTAACTTTTGGAATGGGCAACCAAAACCATAATGTTTATTCTATGACTTAAAATCCTTCCTTCCTTACTCATCACACAAGCTCTTGGTGTACTGTGTTTAGCTCACTATTTTCTTATTTTGGTTGACAAAGCCTATTTCTGTATCAATGGAACACTGAGGATGGTGATTTTTGACCACTCACAATGATTCAGATGTTCATTTATGTCTTCATGTTTCTTTGCCATTATAGTTTATAATTTCAGGCATGCGACACTAGAAATAGAACAGTGGCGTGATGGGGCTGTGTGTCTGAGTATGGGGGTTATGCATGGAAAATAATAGTGGGGGCTGTTTTGATGCATGTTGTTTGCCACCTGTGTATGTGAGCCTTTCTCTAGACCTGAATCCTGTTCAGATCCACTTTGGAAGTGGAGCCACGCCCCCTTTTTCAGCAAGCATAGCCAACCGCGAGGCAAGGAGAAAGCGTAAGGCACCTTTTAATCTATTATCCACTGGAATGGTAGAAATCCACCATTACACTATGTTTTGGTGTGATTGGAACAATTGGGTTCTGAACAGGTGGTGGATTCCTTTCACATGAAGAACCAGGAGCTTGTGTTCTCTCCTTTTCAGCTTCCATACTGTAGTGCTGCTGACAGCAGTTCTTTAGCCAGGTATTAGAGAGGCCCAGAGAGAGTGCAACATAACATGCTGTGATTGATTACACACACACACTTGCACATATGCAGTCCTGTATTGATTGATGGCTGGTAATGCAGATGAATAATCATTCCTGTTTTTGAGCAGTATTGACTGGCGAGTATGCTCAGATCAATAAGTGATAGCTAAGAGCCTCAGAGAGGCAGAGAGGTTGACTTTGTTTATTCTTTCTTCATTTTTTCCCAGTGTTTTTGTCTGTATGTTTTCTCAGTTTTTATGACTCTTTTCTCTTATTTGTGTGCATATCTCTTTGTCAGTCTCTGTAATCTTTGTTTCCCTTGAAGTAAAAGCAAGCTCACAAGCCTGTTTTTACTTGTTGAGTTCAGTTCTTTTCTGTGATCTTTTCATAGTAAATGCATTTGACTGTACACATTGTATTTTCTTCTGTTTAGTCTGTAATACAATCTGTTTTTTTTTGTTCATCTATCTTTATCAGCTTGGCTACCTGCTCACTTTCTCTGTTGTCTTTCCTTTACTTTCTCTGTGAAAATGTATACGCATAGTTTGATTCCACCTACAGAAACGTGCCGGAACAATCCTCTTCCTCCCACCTCTGCTGCATGTACACTGACCTCACATCACACATATTTGTTCCACAGCATCTCACCTCATGTTTTCTAACCTCAATGACAACCATGCTACTACTTGCCTCTTCAAGTGGCCCACTAACCCAGTTCCCCTTTCACGACGTGCTCACTTTGTCAGTGCAGGCTTATGTGTGCGGTTACATCAAGACCTCCATAACCCCTCTTACACTGGCGCTGGGAATATTCCTGTTGAACTGCTTCAGTCCTCTTCTTCAATCGCCCACATGAAGAAAACACTAAGATTATTATTTTCAGATGATTATACGCTAGTGAAACATTCTTATGAATTTTATATTACATGTCTGTCAATAGATCTATCTGTTGCCTTATTTTTTATTTACTTAATTGATTAGATTAGTTCCATGCTTGCAGTAATGCCACTACTGCAGTGGTGTTGGAATCAGTGCTGACTAATACATCCAAGGCCAAAATGGGGCTCTGTTTTAAAGCTATAGTAAAGATACAGGCATCAGGTATAAAACTAAAAGACCAAGGGCATCCATTGGTACCAGCCAGTGGTGCTAGTTTGTCATAAATGTGCGTCAACAATGCTCCAAAGTTAGGCTTCATTTGGCGATGGAAAAACTAGTGTGGCTATTGTCAAAGGGGTACCTTGACCTCTGACCTTAAGACCTGAATGAGGTTCTAGGGGGTACCCATAAGTCTCCACTTTACAAACGCGGCCACTTTATGTTAATCCCATGCAAGTTCACTAGCGTATTGCATAATACCTGCAAATATTATTGCAAACTAGGAATAAAACTGACATGCATGAAAATAAAGATGTATTTACAGCTTTGATGGTCCTAGACTCATCCTGAGCATAGCCACTTTGTTCCCAATGATTTCACTGTATAATCTGTGTGCAACATCCTGTTTGTCAAAGGAAAGGAGCCTACATTCTGTATTCATTTGAAGCCCAATTTAACCCCTGATGATACAAAATAAAGCCGTAGCTTTTTTTTTTTTTTTTAAGTTAGTAACATGCATTAATGGGACATGAATGAGTGCAGAAAGAGAGAGAGAATGAATGAACTCTGTAGTAGCCGTAGGGCTTTGTCCATGTAGCCTGTGTTTTTGTTCCTCACCACTCAAAGCTTCATCTCAGCACTCCCCAGGGTCCTGCATCCACCTGCCACCCACCTGATGAAGGGTCCAGCTGCGGCCTGGGCCTTCCCGCCATGACACAAGAACGCCTATAGGGCGTTCCTGGTAGCGTTTCATCGACCAATCGCAATTCATACTTTGCAGTCACGTGGTTACCATGGATACCTGGCTGGCAAGAAATGCCGACTTCATCTGTCTATTATAGTACATTTCGAGTGAAGTAAATTTAATAAACGTAATTAAAGTCAGAAAACAATTGCAGTGATCTTGATTTTGGATATGGACGTTTATTTAGTTTGAAAAATTCCATACCAGGACTTGAATTACAGCGTGTTATGTCAAATCACATGAGGAAATTATTGCCTTGGTTTTTCCGTTCAGTACGTAGTACGACGTTACGACATACTAAAGAATAAAAGCATTTATTTTGATGGGTGGGCCATGTTGCAAAACCTCGTAGATAATTACAACACCAGAACATTGAATTAAACAATGCAATTGTTGTTAGTTTTAATTTACTTGGGTGAAAGCAAGCGCAGCACTGTTCCTCCGCCTTCGCTGAATGAATGCCAGGGGAAACACCGACGTCCTGACAAGATCCTTGATTAGTGTACTGGGTTTCGTTGCTGGAGACCGATGTTCTTGCCCGCCAGCCAGTAGTTGTGACGTCATGTGCAAAGTATGAATTGTCCTCAATAACTCGTAGAAATATAGACTAGTCCCACACGTAAATGTAAGCATATTAAGATGTAATTGGACTAACGTTCTGTAGATGGCTTAGCTTGCTAACGTTAGTTCTATAATACATTTACAGACTACTAGATCTTATTTTGAAACTTCTGTTGAGAAACACTAACTAGCGAATGTTATATTAAACCGGATGTTGACAGTTACAGTTCAGCAAGAAAGGCGAAGAAGAAGGGGGCGTTCCAGTCAGCGAAAACGGGAACCTCCACCACCACGAGAACGCCCATTTGTGGCTGCAGTTGGATGATATTGCCCACCTGAACAAATTATTTTCTCCAATGTAGAGACTTGCACCCGCATGGGCATTGCCCCATTAATCCCTGTAGTCTGGATAGACTTTTAAATTATGTCAAGCCTTCCAACTGATTCCTTTATTCTGTGTTGTTTTCACTGTTCCATGTGCAAAGTACTGTCACTGCAGCAAATATTGTGGGACATTTGAGCAGCAAAACTAAAAATTGTAGTTCTAAACTTGACAGAACAAAGGGAACCTCCAGTTCACATTCTGTAATTGTCATTTTCCCAAAAACTATATCTAAATTTTGATCCTTCATATGCAAATCAGGCAGTTGGGGATGTGTTTCAAGCCATTTATAGTAAATTGTGGGAACTGTCAGAAGGCTCGTGCCAGCACGCACAATTTCAGGATGATTGAGATGTATGAGAGAAAATCACGTGGGAACAGACGTTTTGAATCTGATGAAACGACTGCATATGCATGTTTCCTGTTCCTCTGTGTGTACACTGTTCTTCTACACATCCAAAAGGTCCAGTGGCCAGATGCATAAAACACAGAGACCATTCTGTCTGCACAATTTAAATAATAATTTTGAAAAAGAAATCAAGGGGGTAGTGGGTTGGTTGTTGAGTCTCTACCGATGTTATAATCAAAAAGATAAGATAAGATAAGATATACCTTTATTAATCCCCGTAGGAGAAATTCAAATTACACACAGCAGCATTGGGGAATATAGCAATAAAAAGAGTACAGTGTACATACAGTAGTATCACAAATAAGAATATTACAAAATATGATAGAAAACAGGGTGCCATGGTTGAGGAGGTTGGAGGTGCTGGGTGCCATGGTTGATGAGGTTGGAGGTGCTGGGTGCCATGGTTGAGGAGGTTGGAGGTGTACTGGGTGCTGTGGTGTTGTGGAGGTTGGAGGTACTGGGTGCCATGGTTGAGGAGGTTGGAGGTGTACTGGGTGCTGTGGTTGAAGAGGTTGGAGGCACTGGGTGCTGTGGTTGAGGAGGTTGGAGGCACTGGGTGCTGTGGTTGAGGAGGTTGGAGGTACTGGTGTGGAAAATGGAGAGGACGGGGGGAAGGAGGAAGCGGAGGAAGTGTAGGGGGGTTGAGGCGGGAGAAGGCGGATGACGGGGGTGGTGTTCCTGTCGTCTGGGTAAAGAAGGGGGAGACGGGCTGTGGAAGAGGAGGGTGGGGTAGCCAAAGTGTGAATGGGGGAAGCTGAGGAGGTGGAGGGTGTTTGTGAGTTAAACCTGTAACTCGTTGCCACGTCCCTTTGTCCCCTCCACTGAACCTACTGACCTTTTCATGCCAGTAATGCTCCTCATCCTCATCTTCATCTCATCATGTATGTCCTTGACTGAAATAGAAAGTGTAACCCACATGTAGTTAACAGAATACTCAATACATTGAGGACCAGTGTCTAGGTGATGAATGAAAAAATAACAAAAGTTCCTTTGTAAACCAGGACTCTGGAACACAAATAGTTTCACAGTGTTTTAGGGTACAAATTAACATAAAACACCTGAGAAATATAATACTCAACACAGTTCAAATCCACAAAGAAATATCTTTGGTATGGAATAGAGTTCAGGATTAATAAAGTTCAGGATTCCTTTGATCCACTCAAGTTCCAGTTTAGTTAGTTGTATTGTATTGTTTTACTTTTAATACCTGTTTGCTTACAATTTCATTCACAAACATTGGTGGACACGCTGCAGTGATTGGATTGATTAGATTTAAATGCCGTGATGCGACTCGAGGGACACAATTACGTTACAGGACCTACGGGAGAAAAAAAAAAAACGACGAGACTCGATAGTGGTATCGATAAGCCCAAACGTTATTGATTTTCGGGTTTTGAAAAAAGTGGAACCGGGTCCTTGATAGAACCGGGTTTCGATCCCCATCCCTAGTCAAAAGTCATATGGGTTGTCACAGTCCTACCACACTGAGGTTTACTCAAGTGATGAGGAATGAAGGCTGGGATGGTCTCCTCTGGACAAAGATGGTTCCAACTCCTTGGAATAAGGAGGGGATCTGGTTCAGTACTGGCTCGCCACCTCTTTCGTCAAGGAGAATCCAAAATCCAAATCTAAGGGTATCTCCAGGGAATCTCAAAAACCTAGCCTGTATGAAAATAAGGCTATTACTACATTGAGTCAAACAAATCCCAGTTCACTATGACCATGGTAAATCATTTTTTAACCATGAATTATGATTATTTATTGTTTTAACCATCAAGTTAACATAGGACCTTTTAAATTGAAATTAACATTTGACCTTTTTAAATGATAACATAAACACTCTCTTTAAATTATGACCTGAATACAACACATCAGGTATTTTACACACCTCATATTTTCTTATAAAGGTTATAGCTTAAATGCACATATCCAGTATTCTTAAACATTTCCTATTATTATTAGCACTAGCAGTGAATAACTTAGCAGCCATGCTTCCAATGTAAACAGTTGAGTACAAAAGTAATCTTATACACCAAAGTAAAAGTTAAAACATAAAATAAAAATATTTTTAAAAAAAAAAATTTTATTATAAAAAAGTAAACAGACTGCTATAACTCATAATTGTAATATTTTCCCTTGAAACTCAAACTTAACTCACCAAGACTCTGCCAAAAGCATTTACCTGGGACACAGATCATAGAATCACCTCTTCCACCTCTCGTACTTGTCGTCTCAAGGTTGCCTTAACTTAATTTATCCACGCTCTTTCTTGTTTCAACTAGTTTATAACTAACTCGTCTGCTCGTGTTGTCGCTTTGACTGCGCTGCCGAACTTCAACCTGGAGGGGTGGGACTTCATTCCCCTATAATAATACAGCTAATAAGAATCCAGGCTAAGCAACCTTACTTTGACTGACACATTTTTTAGCAAACAGAAAGTAAGAATGAGAATAAAACGAAACTTATAGTATCTATGTATCTACTGGGTTACAAAAGCAGATGAAAAAAAAGCAGCAAATGAAGCAGACAAACAGAAATGTCGCAGCGCACATGTAGTAGGTCATAGAGGTCTTGATGTAACCGCACACATAAGCCCACACTGACAAAGTGAGCACGTCATGAAAGGGGAACTTGAAGAGGCAAGTGGTAGCATGGTTGTCACTGAGGTTAGAAAACATGAGGTGAGATGCTGTGGAGCAAATGTGTGTGATGTGAGGTCAGTGTACATGCAGCAGAGGTGGGAGGAAGAGGATTGTTCCGGCACATGTTTCTGTAGGGGTTGCAGCCAAGGTCAGTGACACGTCCACTATGGGAGATGTTCATTCATTGACCCAGTGACAGAGCTCTCATATTCTCTTCCCGTAACATCCACACCTGACATCCTACATTAGAACAGTGCCTGGCTTCAATCTGTCTTCTACAGTAGAGTTTCCATACACAATTTCTGAGCATCAATAACTGTAAACAAAAGTTATGCTTTAGGCTAGTGGCGCTAAACTATATTCACTTCACAAAGTAGAAGAATGCAGAGAATAAAAAATACACACAGCAATACATATTCACTTCTCATCCTACATACTACAACAACAACAACAACAACACTAATAACGCTGTTGATACTAATGCTAATGCTAACAATCTGAACTATTAAACTCTTATTATTATTATTATTTTGATGTGTTCTGCCCCATCAGCATCTGCAAATTGGCTTAGCTCCTTGTGTCGACAGTCTGACACAATCTGGGAGTTACCATTTGCCTCACCGGTCCGTCAGGCTCCTGATTGTATCCAAATGCATACACACCAGGAACAAACCTGTACAAGAAATCTCTTGTACCGCATTGCTCCTTAACTAGTAACTGTATGTTGAATTTTCAGTAAAAAATAGAACACACACAGTACATCGAGCAATAAGGTCCGTTGGCAAGAGAATACGTGCCTCGGTGCACACACAAGTTTCACCATTTTCCCCCACTAGCATGTGTGAGTTATGACCAACAACACAATTATAACCAGGTCAATTCACAGCAAGAGTTTACAGATCAATGTCAAAGGCAGGATCAGGGCAAAGGTAGAAGTAACTACACGTTACTGTAATTAAATAGTTTACCATTTATCAGAGAAATGTGCTTTGTTGAAAGTAGATATTTTTAATTCATAATGCATTAAACATCAGAGTTTAAAAATTAACTATTACTCTAAATAGTTTTTAGAAGAATACTTTTTATTGAGTGTAGCTTATCAGTATTCCACCACTGGATCAGAGATATTTGCACGGTACGCAGAGGATACAGAAACCAACATGCGTAGCTGTTGTGTTCACTGTTGCTGGTTGATATGAACACCGACATTAAGGAGGAGTCCAGTGCGTTTTGGAATCGCTTTAACGCTGAATACTAAGGGGAGCAAATGAGCTTTCTTTCATATTTTGCAGGATCTGATGAAGTATCTAATAAGTTCTGCATGTTGTGTGTGTGTGTGTAATCCCACTGTGTTCTTGCTTTGCTGTACTGCCGTTTTTTTGTGTGCAATTTATCCAGTAGTTATTAGAATATTTGACATTGGACGAGCATATTAGACTAGTAGAAACAAAGTCCAGTATCTGCCTCAACAGTTGACCTCTGCCTTCTTCTCGGGCTCTGGGCTAATGCACCCAAACTGCGCTGTCTCATTGATTAGTTTTCTTGATCATTTATTGATCTGGGCATACTCACCTGCCAACCCTGTTCAAAAAGTGGACTGATTATGCCTCCGCATTGCCAGTCATCAATTAGTACAGTACCGCATATTGGCACAACAGTATTAGTGAGATTTTTCATGGGCCCTATGTATGTGTGTGTCTAATCAATCACAGTAAGTTGCAGTCTCCTAGGGCCTCTCTAACACCTGGCTAAATAACTGCTGTCAGCAGCACTACATATTGAAAGCTGCTGCTGTTGGAGGGGAGAGCACACAAGGCTGTGATTCCCCCTAGCCTGTGAAGCGATTGCATATTGAGTTCAGGTCTTAAGATGAGTAAGAAAAGTAAAAGTCAATCTGCACATCCTTGGGCCATTGCAGCATTTATTTAGTCTGAATACTGTCTAGAAAACATTTAGATTTTCATTATTCCCTCATCATTGAATAATGGACATTTTCAGCCATAGTTCTCCATGTGCTGCATTGAAACCGCCTTATATTACTACACACTTCATTTTGTTTGACATGTCAACCCTGTTATGGACACATGGTATAGGGAATTGTTTACAATTCTTTGTCCACATAATTTTAAATTCCATTAATAATCTGTCATGTTTTGGTCACAGGCATTTGAATGAAAGTATTTTTAATGTTGTAGTATATGTATGACATATGAGGACACTTTTACATAGCAAACCACAAATAAAAGTCATTTAAAGTTTAAATTATTCAATTATTCAATTTTCAAAACAATATCTTTGCTGCAGTCATTAAGAAGTGTAGAAGCATGATTAAAATATTGTCTGAAATATTTTAGTATGGAATTTAAATTGTTGCAGTCATGGTAAAACATGATGAGTTCAACTTGGTTTACTTGTATCTAGTGTGATGCAAATAAATCTTGCACGTGTACACAGTAGCCAATAGCACTGAATGTGTGCTATGTCCCCCTGCCATACAGCTGCCATGGCGTTCCTATTAACTGACTCTGTTTGGGACATAAGCAGGAAAACCTGGTAATATTTTCTATTAAAAAAAAACACTTTTGATGTATAAAAAACCCCAAATAAAGTGATTTTTTTAAAAAAAAATTTGGCATACATTATTAAATAGGCGTACAATACAGTATGAATAGAAATGTAATCTTAAAAGGTTGAAAAGGCATTGTTTTATCTCATATTCTTCTAAATAAACAGGTATAGCCACTGAATGAGTAAACCTTAAATTAAAAGCTGTATGGCCCAAGGAAACATAAAAGTAAGTAAAATGTACTCAAATAAAAAAAAGCTTGAAAGTTTAGAAGGAAGTTTACATCTATTCCAGGTGAAATGTCTGGTTTTTGACTCTGCTTCCTAAGGAGAGCACCCTGCTTTTACATTCATTTTCATCTCTGTTTGTTTGTTTGTTTGTAGCAGATCAAAGAGTGATTGATTCCCATTATCAATGGGAATTAGTAATGAAAATTTATACAACCAGCGATGCAAGGGAGCAAGGAGAACTTGAGCAGCTACTCACAGGAGAGGTTGAGCAGAAAACATAAAGTTTGACTAATCAATATGGAAATGTGTATTTTTGCATTAAATGAGTTTAATGTGTGCAGGATGACATTCCATCTTGGAACTGTGGCAGTAGTCTAACTTTGACAGCTCAGACTTTTTAAAGTCTTTTCAGCCAAAGACTGCAGTGACAAATTCCGTTTTATGTCCTCAGGGATAACAGCTCATTAAAAGAAATCATGATGCTTTCATCAAGCACTCAGGACGTGCCAGACATGAGC